TGGTAAAAAGGTCTCAGCCGATGTCCAAATGGGCAAAGTGGCACTGTCTTGAGGTCGTTCAGACCCTCAACCAACCATTCAAAATTGCAGTTTATTAGGTGGCGGTTGTGACACCACTGGTTGGGGTTGTGATAGTCGACATCTTTGTGGTCTGTTTCTTTATCTGTTGATTTCATAAGGTCTGGGTTTCTGTCGATTAAATGGTGTGACCCTAAAACGGTGATAAGGTTGGTAACGCTTTCTTTTAGCAAATGGTGTATAAATGCTGAGCCTGCAGAGTGTCGCACATGAGTCTTTCATGAAGTATAGCACCTCATCGATCTTAGATGAGAATAGTTTTTCTTTGTCAAAGCAGAGGTCTTCCACCTTGAGTTGCAGTTCTTTTGGGATGCCAGAAGACAGGAGCCAAGGGACTCTGCACATTACAATTGCTGTGGCTGTGGTATGCACTGCCGTATCAGCAACGTCCAGGGAAGCCTGTAAGGCAGTGATGGCCACCAATTGTCCTTCAGTTAGTAAGGTCTTGAATTGTGCTTGTCCTCGGGAAGATCATTTGTGAGCTTGAATAGCTTCCCATAGTTGTCGTGGTCATACTTTGCCAGGAGGGCGCTGTAGTTAGCGACCCTAAATTGAAAAGTGGACAATGTGTAGACCTTCCTTCCTAGGAGGTCCTTATCGAAAGGTGTGGATTTAGAGTGAGGCTGTTTGGATCAATGGTTTGCTGTGTCAACTACCAGTGAGTTTGGTGGCAAGTGGGAAAAGAGAAAGTCCATTCCTTTGGCTGGCACATATTTTCTATTGGCCCTTTTGCATGCAGGCAAGATAGTGGCTGGTGTCTGCCACACTGTTTCGGCAGGTTCCAGAATAGCCTCGTTTACTGGGAGTGCAATTTTTGAAGACGAGGTTTGCAAAATGTCAAGCAATTTATGCTGATTTTCTTGGACTTCTTCCAATGGGTATGTCCTGGCTCAGCGCAATTCTCTTAAACAGTTCTTGAAACTGTTTAAAATCATCCATCATTGTAGGTGGAGGTGGTGTAATGGCCTCATCAGGAGATGAAGAAGAGTTGTGAGTTGCTGGTACATTTTCTTTATCTGTTTCTTCCTCAAGCTCCTCTGCTATATCCTCTGGGGCAATGGATGTAATCACTGGGGATAGGGGAGGAGACCCAAGTTCGCCTTGGGTGGCAATAAGGTTCTGGTGTAGTGGGCTCTATATTCTGCCCATGGGTCCCACAACCCTGGATGTGTCCCCTCATGGCCACTGCATGGGGAATGCCATGAGGGGACACATCCAGGGTTGTCCATACCATGGGTGAGTGGGCTATGGTGGCTACAGTGTTCCTCCAATTGGTCTGTGGTGAGTAGGAGTGCAGTGCTGTAGTGAGAAGACCCCCTTCTCCTGATCCTCATCCGCCTGTCACTTGGTACCGACGGTGCCATGGGAGACCTGGGCTGTACAGTGATGCTTCATGGGGGAGATCCATTGGTGCCGAGAAGTGGTGATAGGGGTACCAAAGATATTGAAATATCCCTCTGTGTAAGGAATTGCTGTGGTGTTGATGGAGCAGTGTTCCCTTTAATTTTCCCCACACATGTGTGGAGTGAATTGGTGCACATAACAAAATTCATGTGGTAGGGGTGGGGCCGAGGGGTTCAGAGTGTGAGAGGGGGCTCAAAGCTGGGGAAGAGGGTTAGGGTGCAGGGCTGTGAGGGGTCCGGCTGAGGGTGTGAGCTCTGGGGTGGGGCCGGGGATGAAGGGTTTGGGGTGCAGGCTGCCCTGGGCCTACGGCAGGGAGAGAGGACTCCCCCCAGCACTCTCTCCCCGCAGAAGCACCTGGGCTCTGGGGGGCGGGAGGGGAGAGGTACCTCTCCCCGTCGCGGCAGTTCTGGGGCTGGGCCACGGGATAGGTGCCCCTCCCCCAACTGTGGCAGGTCCAGGATGGATTCAGGCCAAGGTAGGGGCACCCTTACCCTGGCCACGGCAGGTCCGGGCCTGGGCTGGGTTCGGGCTGTGGGAGCGGCTCCCATCCCCTGGCCGCGGCAGGTCCGGGGCTGGGTTGGGGCAGGGGGAGGGGCGCCCCTCCCCTGGCCACGGCAGATCCCAAGCGGGAGGGCTCCCTGAGTGTCTATGTGGTGCTTAATAGGCTGCTGCACGGCCACGTGGGTTACAGGGAACTTAGCGATGGTGGTGGTGCCAAAGGTCCCAATGATGTTGTTTTTGTAGGAGCTAAATAATGTGCAACTGCTTTGTGGCTCACCTTTGTCGGTACCGGCAGTCCCATTGTGGTTATATCAATCGGTGGTGCCGGAAATGGCAGTGCCAACGAAGTCAGTGGTGCCGAGTTCGTTGTCAGTGCCATAGGTGGTGGCATGATCAGTGCCGGTGCCGATTCCCATGCTGACATAGTTGGTGCCATGGAGGAGGCTTGGCTATGTCTATGCCTTGCCTCCATTTCTTTTGCTTTGGGCTTGGCCGTGCGGCCTGTGCCGGAGGTACCAGGCGAGTCGAAAGTGCTGACTTGAGAAGTGATTGGCACTGAAGGTAACGATCTCGCAGAGGACCATTTCTTTTTATGTGGTTCCCTCTGCAGAGAGGTTGACGGTCGCTTCGTCTTTTCTTTAGAGGATCGAGCTGTGCTCTTCATCGGTTCTGACCTGGTCAGAGAGCCTTTAGAGAGGGGCTTTTGGTGGCCCATTTCTGGGCTTGGTAGTAATGATTTCTCCATTAAGATCATCTTGAGGCGAAGGTCCCAGTTGCACCAGGCTCTCATCTTCAGGTTGTAGCAGTGAACGCACTATGGGGGTATGTGTGATTCACCAAGACATCTCACACACCGCGAGTGTCTGTCTGATCTCGGCATCACTTTGCAGCATCTTTTAAAGCCTGGGGGAACCAGGCATGCTTCAGAGGGTGCTCCAAAAAGGAGCAAGGAAACAGGAAAATCATTTTTTTAAACTATAAACTAACTTATGTAAGATATCTAACTAGTTTTTCCTCTTTATTCTATCTACAGGGGAAGAATATGACACACTGTCCCTAGTTCAATCTTCAGCTGAGGACGGTTGAGAAGGAACTGAAGGGGTCGGGCCGTGCACATGCTAGACAAGACTCCAACGGCACCGCGAGACAGCTTCTGTGCACACGCATCCTGACAGAACACTGCTACCAAAAATCTCCAATCAATGGCATCGGGATGCACCGACACCTTAAGTGGAGCACCCACAGGGACAGCACTCTAAGAAGAACTAGTGGAAGGTTGCATAAAAACCACTAACTTCAATCTAATGGGAGTACTGTATGCAGAATAATGGCAGAGTATGGCCACAAGCAAAGTTGATTTTCATGAAAGTTATAAGAAAAAAATTGTGCAATATATCTTGTAGGTACTTATTAGATAAACCCTTGTTAATTAATACTGGGTCTCTTACTGAGCAATGGGGCATCTAACTAGTATGGATAAAATAGACATGCACTTCAAAAAGAGAAGAAAAAAAAACAGGGGAAAGAGATTGCAAATGTAAAAAGAATACCAATCCACATGATTTTAAATGTTCACATGTTAAGGCCTGTAGGAGTACGGACTCACCCCTGCGGCGCCTCCTGCTGGTGACTTCCGGGAATTAGCTCGTTCCAGCTCCGGAGCGCCCTCTGCAGGCCGGTGATCTGCCTGTCCTCTGGCCCCCGTGTCCCTCCCTCGACCCCGGTGCCCTTTTACCTGGGGTGCTGCCCCCTGGCAGTAACCCTGCAGTCTTAGGGTCTCCCCTCCCCGGGGAACCCCCACCTACTATTCCCACCTCGCCTCAGTATAAGGCTACTGCCAGTCGTCGTCTAGCCCCACGCCCTGGGCAGACTGCAGTATCAGCCAACTCATCACTGGCAAGGAGGGTTTGGACCTGCTGCCTTGGCCTACCCCTGGGCTCTCCTCTGCAACCACTAGTACCCCTTGGTCTTCTGCTAGGCTGCAGCCTGGGGCTTTCCAGGCTGGAGCTCCCCGAGCTCCTCAGCCTTTCCCCAGCCCTGCTCCACTCAGGTACCCTGTCTCTAGCTCCCTGCAGCCAGGTCCCTCCCTCTCAGAAGCTAGAAGGAGTCTGTTGAGCTCCTGGCTCCCAGCCTCTTATATAGGGCCAGCTGAGGCCTGATTGGGACGTGGCCCAGCTGCGACTACTTCTCCAATCAGCCTCGTAGCTTTTCCTTTGCCCCAGCCCTCTGCCAGGGCTGTTTTAAGCCCTTCCGGGCAGGAGTGGGGGACCACCCCACTACAAGGCCCCAGGGAGTTTAAATGTAATATTAGTGTTTGCACGGCAAAACAATCATATCAGCTTCTCTGCAGAAAATGTTAACTAATGGATATGAGGCTTGCATGGCCATCCCCTAAGGCCCCAATCCGTTTTATAGCATATGCTTAAAATGCTCACTGAATTGGACTTAAATCTCCTATACAAACCCCTCTGCTCATTTTAACCACAAGATTGCAACACTTGTAATAGTGTCTTCCTCTGCTGGAAGAACGGTTGCTTCAATGTAGGGTCTTGAGGTTTGGAGAATAAAAGCAGGGAAAAATTTGAAAATCCTCAGGACTCCCTAAATGATGAAGAACCCTAGATGTAGGATAAGAAAGTCTTTCCTAAAAGACTGTCTTCCCTGTGACATAACTGTATTATTGACTTCACAAATTTTAATTTCAAAATTTGATTACATTTGTTCTGGAAAAAAACATTCTTATGAGTCCACATGTGAAACGGCTATGCAAATCACAATTTACAATAATATTATATTCAAAATGGATAAAGAAATTTAATCCTGGACCTTTTTCTAGATGAGCTGCATTACTGTTCTGCTTACCTGCTCCTGAAATGTGTACTGCTGCACTACTCTGTACCTCACTAATGATTTATCAATAACACTTGTAAATAACAAAATGGCACTTCAATTTATTTAACATATTTAATATATTAAATACAATCTGCAAACATAATTAAGAAATATTATTTACTTACATCATCCAAAGCCTTGGACTGTATGTAGTTAAAATATGGGAATTCCTTGAAAATATTTCTAAACTGAGCAGCTTAAGATCATATTCAAACCATTCAGTTAAGAATATAAAACATCTCTTTCTTTTCTTTTAACTGAAAATAATAGCTGCTTTATTAAAACCTAAATAAAGAATTTCCACTTCTGCAAACATGTCAGGTAGTTCCCAAAATGTAACTCAAATGATTTGATGGTTTCAGTTCAATTCCTTGTGGACAGGAGCCCACTTTACAAAACCCCCACATTAGTAACTTTTAGGAATGTATTGGCAGTCTTAGGAGAGACTAAGATCTAAAAGAAAAATGAAATAATCCTTAAAGGTCGTCCCTCTGAAGAGAGACGGAAACTCTTTTACTCCACAAAACATGTATAGCAGGGTGAAGCAGAGCATTCATTGCCTGTGCATGCCTGCTCTGTGAAGAGAGCAAGAGCACACTTCAGATTCAAAAGCATTGAATTGATTAACATTTTTTAAAAACAAGGTTTCAAAACTTCTACTTCACATTTATTTTTTAAACATACATAAACATAAATGAATGTCATGCTGTTTTCTTCATTCTGTATATGTAGCTTTATGCTTCTTTACTTTTCTCCACAAAACACACATGTACACACACACAAAAGAGGAGAGGTTGCCCAGAAAAGCCAAGGGGGGCAAAAGTGCAAGGACACATAGGTACTGTCCAATTAAAAAATATACAGATGTAGTGGGGTTCAAATATAGTATCTTAAAACTAACAGCAATTTTAAATACATTTGCTCAACTCCGATTAGTATATTCAGCACTGGTATTGTTGTTGTATATTTTCAAACAACAAAAATAACAGGTTTAGTTTTTTCAATATTGTTTTTATTCTGAGAACTAGTTGAAGGAAAATACCAAAGAAGAAAAGGAAACATCAATCAATATGTAAGAGTAATCAAAGACAGAGTAAAGAAGCGTAAGTAATGCTGATTGAGTGTTTAGGAAAATGAGGGCCAAGATTTTAAAAAATGGGGACTTAAGGTTATGTAACAACCTGCTTGTAAAAGAGCTCAGCATCCAGCAGCTTTCACTTACATCATTAGATCCACTGACACCTCACTGCTTTTGAAGTCTGGACACTTAGTTGCCTAAATATGGATTTGAGAAGCCTAATTTTAGGCGCCCATTTTTGAAAATGTTTAGCCTAGGAGTGTGTCAGAGGATTAGAAAACAAATTTTAAAGAACCAAAGATGGCAAATGTGAAACACATCCATATGCTAATTCACTTCAGCTTTATTTGAAGTTTTATATTTGAATTAGGTAAGTACCTGTATTTTATATTGATATTTTAAATGTATCATTTTTATAAACAAGTATGAGTACATGATCTAAGAATAAATTGCTTAGGCAATGAATGATTAATTATTATTCCATTGTCCTATTTTCACTATGTTTTAGAGGTACCAAGCATAAAGAATATTTTACCCTTTGATTCCCAGATTTTGTTGGGAATCAGAAGTAATACTGTAAAATACATGTTTTATGTTTTAGATTTAAGCCAGGTACAGTAAGTAAAAGGATACGGATTTCTGTAACAGCCCTCAAAAAAACCAAATCTTTTTTTACAGTTCCTAAAGAAACAAAAACAGATTTATAAAAACTGACACTGTTTTCTACCAATAACCTTTAAACATTATTTTCCTAAATCTTATATATGCATCCTTTGGAGAGTTACAGGCTTGTAATTGGGCATAGGGTGATATGGGAGGATTTGACAGCTGGGAGGGGGAGGGGGAGGTCATGGGCTTGTCACTAGGAGAGATCTGTACAGGTTTCCACAGCTTGGGAGTAACAGGAAGGTCACATACTTGTCATGGACGGTTTAGCAGTAGGGAGACAGGTTAGTCACTTGTTACTGTTCCTGCATTCCCCTTAACATCCTTTATTGATTATAGCTCATTTTGTGTCTTTGCTTTTTGAATTTGTCATTCCTATCACATTATATTGAACTCTATTATTTCTTTTGTGCATTTTTATAAGATTTCCTTTTAATTTACAGGCCTTTAAAAATGTCCCTGATGCAACTACAATAGGTCATTTATTTATTTTCCTAGGTTTCCTTTACATAAGGATTTAACTTTTTACTATGTCTTGAGTATTATGCCCTTCCAAAACTTTCAATATCCTACATTTCATGTCCCCCTGAGGGGTCAGGACCCCCCCCAGTTTGAGAACCCCTGCTTTAGAGCCTACAAGTCCACTCAGTCCTGCTTCTTGTTCAGCCAATCGTTAAACAAACAACTTTGTTTACATTTACGGGAAATAATGCTGTCCACTTCTTATTTACAATGTCACTAGAAAGTGAGAACAGGCATTTGCATCGGTCTTTTGTAGCTGGCATTGCAAGGTATTTACATGCCGGATATGCTAAACATTCGTATGCCCCTTCATGCTTCGGCCACCATTCCAGAGGACAGGCTTCCATGCTGATGACACTCGTTAAAAAAATAATGTGTTAATTAAATTTGTGACTGAACTCCTTGGGAGAGAACTATATGTCTCCAGCTGTGTTTTACCTGCATTTTGCCATATATTTCATGTTATAGTAGTCTCAGATGATGACTCAGCACGTTGTTCATTTTAAGAACACTTTCGCTGCAGATCTGACAGAACCCAAAGAAGGTACCAATGTGAGATTTCTAAAGATAGCTTCTGCACTCGACACAAGGTTTAAGAATCTGAAGTGCCTTCCAAAATCTGAGATGGATGAGGTGTGGAGCATGTTTTCAGAAGTCTTAAAAGAGCAACACCCCGATGCAGAAACTACAGAACCCAGATCACCAGAAAAGAAAATCAACCTTCCTTCCAACATGCATCAGTCCACATTGCTTAGGACTGTTATCAAGCAGAACCTGTCATCAGCATGGATGCATGTCCTCTGGAATGGTGGATGAAGCATGAAGTGACATATGAATCTTTAGCGCATCTGGCGCATAAATATCTTGAGACGCAGGTTACAACAGTGCCATGCGAGTGCCTGTTCTCACTTTCAGGTGGACTTGTAGGCTCTAAAGTTTTACATTGTTTTATTTTTGAATGCAGTTATTTTTTGTACATAATTCTACATTTGTAAGTTCAACTTTAATGATAAAGAGATGGCACTACAATATTTGTATTAGGTGAATTGAAAAATACTATTTCTTTTGTTTTTTAGTGTAAATATTTGTAATAAAAATAAATACAAAGTGAGCATTGTACACATTGTATTCTGTGTTGTAATTGAAATCAATATATTTGAAAATGTAGAAAACCTCAAAAAATATTTAAATAAATGGTATTCCATTATTGTTTAATTGCGCGATTAATTGCAATTAATTTTTTTAATCACTTGATAGCCCTACTATCAATATAATTTTTAACTATGATTTGTATTCCAGGAACAACCAGTGTGCCAGGCACTGTCCACACACAGAGAAAGACAGTCCTTTCCCTGAAAAACTCAATCTAAAACTGAAAGTATTTAAAAAAGATATTAGTTTATTGATTTTAAAGTCAATACAAACCATAAAATCTACAAGGCTAACATTTTATTATTTTATCAAGATGCTTTGTCACACTACTTTCTCCTGCTCCCTTTTCACTGTTCTTTTTTTTGTAAAGCCGGATCCACTGAGGTACTGAGTCATGTCCACAAGTTATTCAGCAGCCACCATTCAATTCCTCAAAAAAAGATTAGGAGTACTTGTGGCACCTTAGAGACTAACACATTTATTTGAGCATAAGCTTTCGTGGGCTACAGCCCACTTCTTCAGATGCATAGATGTGGGCTATAGCCCACGAAAGCTTATG